CATTGGACTGATGACAAAGACAACAGAGAAATGAAGCAGTAAAGATCAGAGACAGAGACAGAGCTGCTGTGGAAGCACAAAACTGTTTGATTGGCTGAGCTATTAAACTGGCCCCGCCCACTGAAGTTGAGCTCATCCAATGACATTATTTGTTGGTCATTGTGCTGCAGTGGAAGAACATTGTTCATGTGCTGTCTGTCTGGCTTTAATAACTCCAAAGACATGTTGCTGCACCTCTTTTTGCTTCTATCTCACATTATAGGTGAGTTTAAGAACAGGGATTAAAGTTTAGTTGAAGCTGCTGCATTAAGCAGATATACAGACTGCATTTCACTACTTTTCTTCTTTCTTTTTCCAGGACTAACAGCTGGAGACTCAATCACTCCTCAACAACCTGAAGTCACTGAAACAGAAGGAGAATCTGTCACACTCACATGTAGCTATGAGACAAGGTAGTTTTGACTTTATTGGTACAGACATGATTCTGACCTTCAGGCTCCTCAGTTTATACTCTCAAAGGAGCAAGATCACAGAGTGGTATATATCCTGATAATCGATATGACTCAGAAACATCACCTACATCAACTAATCTGACCATAGCAGCCCTAACCCTGGCAGACACAGCTCTCTACTACTGTGCTCTAGAAACACAGTGATACAAAGTGTAGAAGAGGCTGTACAAAAACCTGAACACAGATATCTGACTACTCTTCAAAGAGGAGGGAAGTGGTATTCAAAGCACAGCTTCATATCAGATGGATTCTGCTAATTCCTGTTTTATCAGAGTCACTGTGGTTACAGCTGCTAATGAAACACTGTGGGAGGATTCACATGAGCAGCAAATCCACATCAACCACAAACCAACTGCAGGAACGTTCAGACACAATAAAAACTGTCAAACATCAAAAGCTGCTCATTTACACTATTTTATATTTAGTGGATGAGGACATGCAGAAATGCAGCAGAAGCAAAATAAACAGAGTAACAGAGGTTTATCTCTTTAAGGTAAAATCTCTCACATGAAGCTAAAAGTCCAACCAGGAAGACCATCTCATGCTTGTTCCATTTATTCTCTTTGAACTCATCACATCAGATGATGATGCTCTCCTTCATCATTGTCCTGCTCATGTACTTTAAGTGTGTTCCCCTCTGGCAGGTCCAGACTCTCCTCTGTGCTTCTGCTCTGAACAACATTTCAGAGTGCCTGGCCTTCTTGAGGTCTCTGAGCAGGATCCTGGACGCTGCATCATCTGGTAGCTCTATTGTGCTTCTGAGGACTTTATGTGTCAGAGTGACACAATGGTGGTTTCTGTTTTACTGGACTTGTGTGCTAACCACAGTATAGGTTGATGCTTGACTCTGTAATTGCATCATCAGGTCTGCAGCAGTGTGTTCTGGACACTCTGGTGAAGAGAGGAGCTGAGCTGTCATCTGATCACCATCTGGGGGTGAGTTGAGTCAGGTGGTGGGGGAGAATGCTGGACAGGCCTGGCGTATCAAAGTGGTTCAGGTGATCTTCAACTCCCACCTCCAGCAGAGCTTTGGCAGCAGTCTGAGTGAGGCTGGGGACTCATTGCTGATGGGGCTGTGCAGAGCTTTGGCTGCAAGCTGGTTGGTGCTTGTAGTGTTGCTAACCTCCTAACCAGATCTCATTAACTCCTCGTGTTTTGGGGAATGAAAGGTCCAGCTGAAACATCCACTCTTTGTCAGATTGTTGTCTTCATTCTGGTGGTAATTCAGCTTTAATTTATGACTTATGAGTTTGTGCTTGTAGCTTCTGTTACCTCACCATGTTCTCTTGTGTCTGCTCATAGCTCTGTGGACTTGAGTTACCTGAAACCTGAAGGATTCTCTCATTGTCTGCTGTTTGGAAAGGACTGACTTGTAACAGAGCTGGAAAACTCACCTGCCCATCCACTCTCCACCCACTCAGCCTTCTGAAGCCTTCACTTACCTCCCTGACACAGAAACTCTAAAAGTGAAACACAAGAAAGGACTCTAATAAATACTATATAAGCAATTCTGACTGCACTGATACTCAGCAGTCGTTCTCTCGGGCAGTTCTCTGGTGTCTCCCTGCTCTGTCCCTCTGCAGGAAACCTACTTACCTGCCCCCCTGTCTTTGAACCTTCTCAAAATAAAAGCATGTAAAGCTTTAGCCTCATGTGGGCTGCGTTAGAGTCGATGCATTCCTGTAATCATGACACTGAGAGGTTGCTCCAGGGATTATGTTGGTGTTCCAATATCCTGGAACACCAACATGCACGCTCAGTCATCCAGGTAAGCAAATCCCAAAAAGTTGATTCTGTTCATCTGGATGTTTTCAGTGGGAGAAACGTTTCATCATCATCAGGTGACGTCTTCAGTCTCAGCTGACTGCAGGTTTCCAACCTTAGAAACAGGACATTTGCACAATGACTGAAACCAGCAGCACTGAATGAACACTAAATAATCAGCCATCAGAAAACGTTGTAAAAACTTTATTTACACAGAGACTTTCATATGTCCATGCTGTACATCTTCAGTTTTCTCATGGTACATTAAATAATGTGCTTTAAATAAGAAAAGACTCGAGCTGGGCAGAAACTTCAACATGTGAGTGTGACAAAAGCCTGAGGCACATCTGCAGGCTAAGAAGCGACCAGCTTCCTGTTTCCTCTACCCACAGGAACACAGAAAAACCCCACCAAAATAAAAGCAGGTGAGAATTCCCATTATGACCAGCAGAGGGTGCTGAAGAGAAAGAACCTATGCATGCCATAACATTAAGGCTCTTTCTTCCCATATATAATTTTCCCTCTAGAAGGGCTACGGCTTCTGACTTGTGTGTGTCTTCATGTGATGCAACAACACACTACTAGATGCAAAAACAAAACTGGCACATTTGACAAGGTTATTACTTCTCATGTGTCGTTAATTCTCATGTGCTTTAACAAGTAATTTCTAAAAGGCAAATTTTCCCACATGTTTTGCAAGGATGTGGTTTTTCACCGTTGAAGATAAATGTCCTGAATGGCAGGAAGCCTCGTGCCAGTGATGTGCTCTGCTGCCTTCATCACCCTCTGTAGTGATTTACGGCTGCTGGCAGAGCAGCTTCGTACCAAACTGTAATGCAGCTCGTCAGCAAGCTCTCGATCGCACACCTGTAGAAATGTGAGGTGATGTTAGCGTTCATGCCAAACTTCCTCGGCTTCCTCAGGAAGTAAAGCCGCTGGCGAGCTTTCCTGAAAACAACTAGAGCCTAAATGTACGAGACCTGAAAACATGATGACGTGAGACCTAAACATGGAAATTGCCGACTACAAACAAATGACACTAACACAATATATACACAGAAGGTAACGAGGGAATGTGCAACACAAGGCAAACACAGTTAACCTGACATAACAAGACAGGCAGGAAGCAAAACTGAATACACAGGAGATGGGACTATCAAAATAAAACAGGAAGCAAGACACATACGGAGAGGCGAACAAAGACCGCCTCTCTGTACACAAGCTTAACACTGAAACCGGGAGAGAAACAAACATGGGGACATGAGTGATTGTGGAAACAGAGAGGGAACATGGAACACCAGGACAGGGGTAAAAGAACGTGAGATGTGGAACAGCGAAAGCAAAGTGACAGAAAACTAAAGACAAGAAACTTTAAATATAACATAAGAAAACCAGAAAAGTACAAATGACACTGAATCAAAGAAGAGACGAGCTGAACACTTTCTATGCTCGCTTCGAGGCTGCAGCTAAGG